AAATTAATTTAGTGGTGTCGTCTTTCCTTATGAGCTGGTGTAGAAGGTAGGTACCCACATGGTAGGGTACGTAGGGTAGAAGGTAGGTAGGAAGGAGGTTAAGACACATGCTTCGAACTGAAGGGGATTAGTTGGGGTTTAGGAATTATTTGTGAAAAGGTTTGTAGCAGGAAACACTGAAAACTGGATAGCAAGCTAAATGTAACATTTCTGCTCCCTTTTTTTTCTGTTAGGAAATACTGGAAGTACACTAAAAAGGTTTTTTATACACTCTAGTTTAGAGAAGGCCTTCTTTTAGCCTTCAGGAACAAACCTGGTTTTGTGATACCTTTTGTTTGTTTGTTTTCCCATTTTGAATTTTTGGTTTATTTTTAGGCATTCAGATGTCAACACGTATCTGTTTAATGTAAAAAGATATTAATGTCCAAATGTTTTGTGTATTGATAGGAAAGACTAAAGAGGACGCACTTAGGCAAGACTCTCCAAACCAGAAAAAGAACACATTCTGGAAACCAGAAGCTGAAGAACTGATATTGTCATGGTCTGGATTGGAAACAGAAACATCTGATGTAGAAAAATGTAAACCAAGGGTGCTGCCAAGTGAAGATTTGCCTATGCCCTCATCTGGGCATCAACAAGACCAGACTGTGTCTCCAAAAAAGTCTCTCAAGTCTTCCAAGAATCTGCAGTCAGCTTCAAAAGCTTCTCAGCATTTAGATAAGAGGAAACAAACTGCTAAGCAGAAACTTCCTAAGGTTAAAGTAGCTAAGAAAGTGGCGTTAAGTTCAAGGAAGGAGCTTAAAAAATCTGTCCAGAAAAGTAGTAGTAAAAAAACTCAGTTGCAAAGAGAGAAGAGTTCTGACAGTGAACCCAGTGAAGAAGAGCATGAAAGAGAGCCTGTACATTTGAAAGATGTGTGTACCACACCCTTGCGTCAGAAATTAGAGACTCCCGTGATTCAGAAATTGGCTGTGTCTGAAAAGCCTAGAAATGTGTTGCACACATTGGAGTCACCTGGTGGTGCAAATAACCCATCTCCTGTGAAAGCACTACAGCATCTCATGGACAGTGTGAAGAATTCAGAAAAGAAGCAGTTGTCAGCCAAGTATTCAGGGAAGATACCCGGAAAGATTCCTTGCAGAACCAATAAAGCTGTTTACTCAAACCCTGAGGACACTGAGTCTCAAACAGATTCTGACAGCTCTTCTGTACAGAACATGGCAAGGAAAAACCAGAAGTTATCAGATGTAAAAATAAAAAATAACAAAAGAAAACGTAACAGGCAACATGGACCACAGTAAGCTTTTTATGTGATTCCTTACAAGCGTGGTATAACTTGGTAGATAATTAAACACACCTTGTTAACTTTTAAGCAGTGATGGCCCAATTGAACTACGAGATAGTTTGAGATTGGTCAAATAGTTAATAGAGAAACCACGTGGTGTAGTCAACATCCTGTTCTCAAATGTGGGTGCCAAATCTAGTGTCTTTTACATGAGGAAGTTTGTGCTGGTTAAACTGTTCTCGTGAGACTTGTGTAGTAGATACAATCCTACCACCACAGAGTAACTTCACTGTCAGGTTTGTTGTATTTTTAAATGAAATTTGGAAAATACAGCATTTAATTCTTCAGCTATTGTATATATTTTTGTGGATGTAACTTTCTAGTCATAGGCAATCTAAAGACGGAAGTTTAAGGAGCCTAAAACCAGTTTTTAATAGTTGTTCTTTGCATTGTTTTTAAATTTTTTTTTAATGTCTTTTTATGGTTTTGTTCAGGATATAAAATTATTGCCCTACAGGTTCCTTTCATTAAGTAAAAATTGACTCAGCCCTAAAAGGGTTGAATAATTTTTTCTCTTCTAGATATTCCTTTGTGGCTGAGAAGGCTGTGAACTATGAAAGGTAATTTCTTGAGTTGTCTGAAAACCTTGAATTTAATCTCACTTCTGCCCCACTGAGACAGAAGAGTTTGGTAGTACTGCCCCATTCTGTGCTCTACTAGTGAAGCACCTAGTAGAAAAGAATTGTAATTCGCGCTTGAGGATTTTAAATACTGCATTAATACCGTTAATAAACTAGTAAAATTCTTCTTCCTGTCATAAATAAGGGGTCATAGTAGGTTTCTTGCCTTAGGGGATTTTTTTCCTTTGAGGTTTGCTTCCACATTAGTGTGTGATTTTGGAACAGAAATACCAGTGCTCCTAGAACTAATAGCAGCTGTACTAATAAAGTTGCCGTTAAGTGGGGTATAGAGCTGTATCCATGATCCAAACTTTTTGCATGTAGATAGGCATGTAGCTTCCCCTTCATGGGATGGGAACTTAATGACAAAGCAAACAGGAGTGGCAGTCTGTGAATTTATTAAATTCTTAAGCAGTCATTCTGCAGAAAAAGGGATTTGGGGTTTTTAATTATAAGGGAGACTACTGCAGACTTACTTGGATGAATTTGTAGTGTAGGTTTGGTAATTTAGATAATTTAAATGCATCTTTTGGAGTTTAGGTGGATAACAGGTGAACTTCACTGGCACAGTAAAAGCAGTGAAGCACAGCCACAGATGGAGGAAGAAGGAAGGTGAAGGGTACTGATGCTAAGGTTGCAAGAGAGGTCCTGTTAGAAGTGATTTGGTTGCTAAAGAATCTCTGGTGGAGTCACACATATAAATTGTCATTTTACGGGGGAGATTTCATGACAGACTACTCATTACAAAGACAAACTATTTTACTGTCCATTCCTTATAGTATGCAAAACATTTCTTTAAAGCAGTACCATAATCACAGTATATGGAAAATTGTTTGAAAGGTAATGCAACAGAAGAAAGTATCTTTATTCTGGAAGGGAGAAAAAAAGAAGTTTAAGAAACCTGTTTAGAGAGGAGGTGTGAACACTAAGTTTTCTGCCTGGTGACTGAGTAGAGGAGGAGTTGATGAATTTCAGACCTATGATTTCTAACTAACAGTCATTTGCTTCAGTGTCTAATCACTGTAGACAGATGTTTAAAAGAAAAATAAAACCCAGACCACATGATCTGAAAAAAACTTAACTTTTATATATATGGTAGTGCTGTAATGTTCCTTTGACATTTAACATCTTTAAGCAGGTTTATTTTTTATTCTTTTGCAGTGGGCCTGTTCTAGAACATTGTGATAAATTTGATTCCAGCACTAAGTCTTGTGAACAGTATGATACATCATCAGGTAATGTTTAAAGTTGATATTTTCTTGCATTTTATGTATAAGCTTCTTATAAACTGTAACTGATGGTTCAGTAATTTCTGTTGTATTCAGCTTGTCCAGAACAAATGTCCAACAAATTTTATTGGCTGTGGTTACATTTCTGTCCAAGTAGGTGGTACACTATGCCAGCTTTATGTTGTGTTAGCTTTGGAAGAACAAGCCCTCCAGGGTTTGGCATCAAGCCTACTGGGATAAAGTTATCGCTCCAAAATATTTTGAACACGTTTTTCAGGCTCTGTTTGTACCAGTTTGATGTGTTGCCATGTGATGGTACTAAATGCAATCACTTCAGGCCACCCTGGACCAAAGTGTACAGCCCGATGGCCTGTTCACCCAAGAATATTTTGGTTTGGGGTGTTTTCTTTGGTTGGTTTGGTTTGTGGTGTCTGGGTTTTTTTAAAAGTTTTGTTTGGTTGGTTTGGATTTTAAGTTTCACAACATGAGTTGTACGTGTTGTCATAATGAACATGAGCCTTGGAGATAAAAAGTCATTTTGTTAGTATTCTAGAGCCAAAAGTGAATATGCGAATGTTATTAGTTCATGCAGTGCTTTCTTCAGAGACCTAATTTTGTGTGTGTTCTTGTAAGAAGTTTGTTCTAAAGCTAGGTTTGAGTGATATAAAGCTGATTGACCTTGCACTTTGTCATAATTTTCCAATGTGTGTTTTATCAAGAGGGATAGGTCTGAGGAATATTTACTTGAATATATAGTTTTCATGTAATTTTCAAGCTTACTAATTGCATATACTGCTTGTCTACATTGGGTTTCATACACGTTTATAGCAAAATGTGTTGGGACTTGTATTACCCTTGGTTGCTTTTAGTGGGGATATTGAATAAAAGTCAGGAATAGTAAATTCCTATGGTGGTGGTTTTTTGAATGTGTTTACAGAGACTTTTGATGACTTGAATTACAAAGTGAGAGATCCATTGTCAGACAACATAGCAAGGCATAAAATAGGTAAGATTATTTAAAATATCATAATGTAAGTGTGTAAATACAAATGTATTTCGAACTTGATGTAAAGTTTGCTGAAGGAGACTGGCATGCAGCTGCACACTGAGCTACCTGCACTGAATGTATTCCTAAAGAACTGAGTCAAGACAACCCCACAGTTCAGTGAGAACAGTAAGAGTTTGTATTAGTTTTACGCAGTATAACTGATGGTGCAAATAACCTGCCTTGTGTGGTGGTCCGAGTCTGGATAGGATGGAACAATGCGTGTGCAGTCGATTGGAGTCCCATGCTTGTCTGTTTTATATTGGGGTTTTTTTATGGCCTTGTCTACCTTCAAAAACTATTTCATCAAGTTTTTTATATTTACCATTTTTAACATTTAAATATCTTGACTAATTTGCTCTTAGCTCTTAAAGGGCTTTTATTCTTCCTTACAAATACTAAAATATATCTTACTGTATTCATATATGGCAGCTTAGACAACTTGAAAGTTGAGACTATGTAATAAGTACATCTGAAGATAAATATCTGAGAAATCTTGGAAATACGTGGAGTTTCTGTTGGCAGAAGTGCCATTCTTCTGGACCTCAGAAATGGGACTTGTGAATCTGGAAGAGGAGGAGCTGCGTATGCAGTCTCTTACTCTCCCCTTGCCATAACTAAGGCAGTGCCTTTTCACTGTTGCTAATGAAATCCCTCAGATTTAGGCTGGGTCCTACATATATAGAACAGGTTTAATTCCTCTACTCAAAACCTTACAAAAAAAACCCCCAAAACCCCTTAATTCAGTACTAGTGGGACCAACCTCTGCTGCTGACTGGTTTTAGCAGTGATGTAGGTGAGGATTCTGGAGAATAACAGGCTCTTTTCACAGAGTTGGTTGATCCTGCCTTTGGCTGTCATAGTTGGTAACGAATAATGAGACAAAGTAAAATAGTTGATAAAGCAACTGTATTTTGATAGGAATACAAATTTCTACAGAACATGATATACTTTCCTTCCCTTAAATCACACTCATGTGAATCACAGTTCTATTTTAACTAAACACTTCAACTTTCTATCAAGTAAGACTTTCTAGAAGTAACTATAAATTTCAAATAACAGGAAAAACAGTGTGTACAGCAAAAATCTATATGCAGCTTTAAACAGGCATCCTGCTAGTCTCCAGGCAAGCTATTCTTTTCATTAGAATGAATTATTTTAAACAATTTAATTCACCTTTCTTAAGACAGGCTGAGGTTTTGCAAGAAATTATTTGACATTATATGGTATTCTAACATCAAAATAAAGTAAACAAACACCACTATAAAGGATGCCTGTTCTCAACCCTGCCATTAACGGAATATCCTATTTAAAAAAAATAGAATCAAAACAATAAAATTAAATATACAAACTAGATTATTGGCATCATTTTCCCAGCACACTAACAAGGCCTTCAACTTGTTTCCACCCTTCAAGAAAGATACATATATATAAAGTTATTGTACAGATAACTATCAGGAGTTAACCAGCTTTTGTACAAGCATCACCTTTCAACTCTACTGTTCACCATTTAGCTAAGAACTGTGTCCATATATCTAGCAAAGTGGCCAAAACCAACTCCAATGGAGTCCAAGACAGCCATACCCACCAGCAGTAACAAGGCAGCGTGCTCCAACCTGAGACCATAAAAAATTTAAGTGTCCTGGACAAAAAGCTGAAAAAGCTTTCACTAGAAAAAAAACTGGAAAATAAGCTATTAAACAAATCTAATTACAGAATATTTACTGTTAGAGCACAACAAACTAAGAAAAAACCCATTATCAACAACTATTACAGATGGTTAAATTGTAGCCTATATACTGTTACAAGTGGCATATGGAGCTTCTTCAATGCTCATACAGAACTAAATCCTACAGAACTAAATTTGTACCCCAGTGAAACTGTACCCAAAGCTATACTGTGACATTGCCATAACTAACTTACGCTTTGGCTCTGCATTGAAGTCCTCTTCCTATTTTTGACAACAGGAGCTGAGCAAAGGGTTGCATTTGGAGAGTTTATTGTAAGATCACTGCTGCAACCTATGAAGAAAACACTGTAAGTATGGGGACCTTGGAATTGTCCAGGTCTCATTTATTTTAACAAGTTACTACAGCTATTAAGGTCACATAAATCCAAACAAGAAAGGAATCAGCTACTCAGGAAAGATTACCTTTATAAGACAGTTAAGACACAGTTTTAAGCAGCTGGGAGGGGGGTGCTTTTCAAGACCCTGAGAAAAACTTTATTTTTATTCATTTTATCTCGAATTTTTATTTCTATTTACTTACCACTAAATATAATATAAAGAAGAAATCATTTCTTCTTTTACCAGCAAATTGAGTAAAACACCAAATAAGAGCTTACTTTCAAAACAATCCTGTATGAGTTTCAGTACGTTTTGACCTGGCTGTACATCAATCTTACTTCTAGAAAGAAGAGGAAAAAAAATATTTTAAATCAAAAATATCAAATGTTCTTATCCCAGCAATATGAAAGCAGCAAAGTTCTTACTTCTCAATATTTTAAATTATTATTTCCTCTAGTCTCAGCTTCAATATACTTTTACCTATCATTTCCACACATAGATATCTGCAGAGAAACTTGTCAAAATAAGAATTCCAGGGAAAAAAGCCTCACTGCCACAGATTATGATGAGAATGAAGAATTCTCTCTACATAAAAAGAAAACACACAACTACTTCCCTGAGGTAAAAGAGCTTTGGGATGAAGAAAGTCTCTCTTGAAATAAACATTTTTTGGGCAGAAGTGAGTGATTCACTAGCCAGACAATGTTGATCAAAACCAAAATAACACTAGAAAAGACATGGAGTATTACTCCCATAATGATCATTATACACAGCTGATTTGGTAGATTTGGTAAGCTCGTGAAATGCAAGTCTAAAAATGGATTCCAGCAACAAGAACTTCACAGGCTTCTGACGTGCCTTTAAAGAATGCTACAGCACTACAAATACTCCAACTCATCTCTAGCATTTACCAGCAAGGTCCAAATACGCTGGAACTCTGTGTGGGTTTCATTTCTCTACTTCTCGAAAGGCAAATGTCTGCACAGACTACTCCTTCTGTACTCAGGCAGCCTAGTTAGGAGCACCTTAGGTATAGCAACACCATAGTTTGCTGCCTCAGCAAAGGAAACAAAGGAAAACCTTGGGGCTTTGTCCCCCAGCACTGTTTGCTCCTCCCACCACTAAGAAATACAAGAAATTTGGGAAACATGGTATGATCGGATTAATAGGATACACCGTATAGCTTTGACATTATGCTCTTGGATAAAAATCCACATAAGTTTTCCAGAATCTAAGAATAAAACTTTAAATGCAAATTACCCTCCTCCATGGCAGAATCTTGCTCTGTAGTCTTTTTTTAAATGATTCTGTGAAGAAATAAGAATAAGTTCTTGCTAGGCATAATGACACTTGACAGGAAAACAAGTAAGCAAACATCAAGCATTCTCCAGCCATCGTAAACTAGTGGGAGAGTGGGAGTTACTGCAGCCCTGTTTTCCTTAGAATGCCACAGCAGCTACAACCCCTGTAACAATTGCCAGAAATTCAGCTTTCCACAAGAACCATCAAAGCATCTGTTGCATTTGAAGTCAGAGAGTCTTACAGGAGACTTACGTGACAGAAATCACAGAGAATGTAAGGATTTGGTTACCATTTACTCAAGTGTAATGACTAATCTTTAAAGTAAGGAAGAGGAATGATCTACCACAAAGCAAGCCAGGACATAACCAAACATCCGCTGCTGTGTGTTAACTGCTCACGTGATGGTTCTTACCTGTTTGCCACAGGCACGACCACACTGACAGGCAGTGAGAACACATCGCTGTGCCATGGCAAAACTACAGCCTCAGTTAAGTCCCAGTGCCACCTCACACACTTGAAACCCAAATATAATCAAAGTCATTCAAATAGAAAACATGACTCCAGTCATCTACTACCACAACTGGAGCAGTAATACTTCAAACGGCAACATATTATCAGTGTTACCTTCTACACCAACAAATGAAATAAAGCCACTGACCTGGAAACAGGCAAAGAACATCAAGGATACAAATGGGAAGAAAGGTCTAGAAAAATTCAAGCGCTAAGCAGAGTGCAGTTTTTCACAGATGTGATAGGAAAACATCTAAAAAAAATGTAAATGTTTAGCTGAAAAACAACTATGACCTCTTATTCATTTGTGTAAATTTAAAAAGTATGTGCAGCTTGGAGATTATCTAGTCCTAACACAACGGAATTCAGCTCGTTTTTCTGAAGTTTGCTATACCGACAGTACTTTGCACTTTATGATTCCTCTTTGGATATTACTTCTGGTAACAAAAATAACCAACACCACATATGGATTGATTGCACTGGAAACTTTCAATATCAGCCTTAAGCGGCAGAAGGAAACTCTAGGTCACACGGGAAAACAACTGACCAAAAGCCACCTCTTCAGAAACTGTGCACACTCCAGTCAATCTGACACTCGGCCTTAAACCTCTTCCCCTTGCAGCAGAGTGTAGCACAATCCACGGGCACGCAGCCTTTCGCACTAAAGAGACTGAAAATCTCCTTTGAACAGTTCATTTATGAGTGTGTTCGCATTGTCCTACACATGAAGTGTTTTAAAACTCAAGATGTGCACGATTGTGGCATGCCTGGACAAGTGTCCGGCTCTGTACGCGCTCACTCGCCCATGGAAGGCGGCTCTCCAGAGGCAGCCTGAGGGGGGGC